GATTCCACCAAAAAACTATTCGACCTAATAAGCAAATTTGGCAAAAGAGCAGGATACAAAGTCAATATGCAGAAATCAAAGGCATTTTTGTACACCAACAACAAAATGTCAGAAACAGAAATTAGGAAAAAAATCCAACTTGCTATAGCAACAAGAAAAATAAAGTACCTAGGAATATGAAAGCCTGTACTCAGAAAACTACAGAATACTAAAAAAAAGAAAGAAATTAAGGAAGACACAAATAAATGGAATCATATACTGTGTTCATGGATTTGAAGAATTAACATCATCAAAATGTCCTTACTACCTAAAGCAATTTACAGATTCAATGCAATCCCTATTAAAATACCAATGACATATTCTATAGATATAGAACAAATACTTCAAAAATTTATATGGAACCACAAATGACCCCGAATAGCCTCAGCAACTTTGAGAAATAAGAACAAAGTAGCAGGGATAACAATAACTGATTTCAAACTATATTACAAGGCCACTGTAATCAAAACAGTCTGGTACTGGCATAAGAACAGACACATAGATCAATGGAACTGAATAGAGATCCCAAAAATAAACCCATGTCTCTATGGTAAATTAATATTTGACAAAGGGGGCAGGAGCATATAATGGAGTAAAAATAGCCTCTTCAACAAAGGGTGTTGGGAGATGTGGAAAGCTACATGCAAAAAAACTGAAACTTGACCACTAACTTACACCATACACAAAAATAAACTCAAGATGGACGGAAGTCTTAAGTATAAGTCATGACACCATAAAAGTTCTAGAGGAGAACATATGCAGGAAAATTTCAGATATTCCAGGCAGTAATATTTTCACCAATATGCCCCCTAAAGCAAGGGATATAAAGGAAAGAATAAACAAATGGGACTATATCAAATTAAAAAGCTTCTGCACAGCTAAAGAAAACATTGGCAAAACGGAAAAGGAACCAACTGTATGGAAACATGTATTTGCCAATGACATCTCAGTCAAGGGTCTGATCCCAAAATATATAAAGAACTCACACAACTCCACACCAGGAATACAAACAATCCAATTAAAAAATGGGCAAAGGACCTGAATAGACACTTCTCCAAGGATGACATAGAGAGGGCCCAGAGACATATGAAACGATGCTCAGCATCAGTAACCATCAGAGAAACACAAATTAAAACCACAATGAGATGCCACTTCATACCAGTCAGAATCAACAAATCAACAAATAACGAGTGCTGGCAAGGTTGTGGAGAAAAGGGGACCCTAGTGCACTGCAAGAAAGACTAGTGCAGTCACTGGAAAACAGTACGGAGTTTCCGCAAAAAAACTAAAACTGGAACTGCCTTTTGACCCAGCAATTCCACCGCTGGAATTATACTCTAAGAATCCTGAAACACTAATTCAAAAGAACCTATGCTTCCCAATGTTCATAGCACCGTTATTTACAATAGCCAAATACTGGCAACAGCCTAAGTGCCCATCAGTAAATGAGTGGATCAAAAAACTGTGGTACATTTACACAATGGAATATCATGCAGCAGAAAGAGCGAGCTTCTACCCTTCACAACAGCATGGATGGAACTGGAGAGTATTATGCTAAGTGAAATAAGCCAGGCAGTGGAAGACAAATACCATATAATCTCACCTATAAGTAGAACCTAAACAAAACAAGCGAGCAAAATCGAACCAGGGACATGGAAATAAAGACCAAACTGACAGTGACCAGAGGGGAGGGAGATAACAGGGGAAAAAAGGGGGAGAGTCAAGAAACATGTATAAAGGACCCATGGACAGAGATAACCGGGCGGGGGGAGGACTGAACGTGGGAGATGGGGGGTGGTTAGGGCAGGAAGAGCAATGGGGAAAAATGGGAACAATTGTAACTGAACAACAATTTTTTAAAAAACCACAGCTATAGAACCCTTCATCTGAGAGGTTCAGGAAATTAAATTGAGTAAGAGCCCATTAGATATAATACTGGTGTCTTGCAAGGGAACATGTGCCATTTTAGAGGGAAAATGGTGTGTTTGTATCCCTGCAGACCTCTAGCACAAAGAAATCACAAAATTAAGTAATTTGGCTAGTAAGCCTGTATCTGGTACTGCAAACTCATCATATTGGAAATCAAATGTTCTTTTGGCTTAATTTGGGCACTCTTGGCTCATGGCTTATTGGAACTCTACAAACTAATTACAAACCTTCTCCTGGTATTTGTCTGTTCCAAGGGCTCAGATGGGCAATCACATGCTTTTAATGCTGCTATTCAACTCTTGTCCCATTGCATGATTAAACAAATGGTCAATGAAAAGAACTGAAAAATCTAACACTTATGGACGTTTTAAAAATCACCTGGGAACCCGACACATCATGACGCCCTAAGTGGTACTGAAGATCTGCAGTAAAGACGGGGGGATCACGTCCCGTTGTCACTCTTTCAGCTCAGGCCGAAGGGCAGCAAATGAGTGACACTGAGAACTGAAATCCTTTGCATCCACACAGCTTACTGTACACATTAACAATTTTGTCTTCATTCAGCTGGTATAAAAATCCTAGGAAACTTGTCCAGGAAACTAAAGTGGCAAATAACTTCATTATTGTTCATTTTAAGGACTTCCTCATTTTATCTGGACACTTCCTCTATTTAACTTACCCTCATTTCACAAATACAAATATCAATGTCCAGAAATGTGGCAGTCACACTCCTAGTCAGGGGTCCCTTGATCACTGTCCAGAAGTCTCCCACAACAGTATGCTTTGTCTCAAATTAACACTAAGTTTCGGGCCTCAAGAAGTTAACAATCAGATTTTAGAGACAACATATAAATGCAGTGATTATCCATTAAAGGTAAAGAACCTCAGAAATCACTTTACTCATAAAGAGGCCTAGAGATGTATTGTGACTTGCTTAATGTCACTCAGTTAACTGGTATAATAAATGCAAGAGGATGGTACAGGACAGAATGTGTTTAAACTGCCACAGAATGATAAAAAACCCACACTATATGCAAAGAAAAAAATGATGTGGGCCAGAAAGGACTTACAGGACTTGAGCTGACTCTTGAACCAACAAATGGATTGTGAGGCATGTTCATGGGAACAACTGATTTCTTAATTTCAGGAATATCCATTGGGTTGGGCAGAGATATAGTTAGGAGCATTTAAAATTCCCAGTCAAGTATATGTTTGATTCTGTGGGAACAGAGAGATATCCAAAGTTTAGAGAAACTTTCAGAGGAACACCCAGGTAGCAATACGTTGAAGCTTTCCAAATACATGAATTGATATATTCCAATCTACTATAACCTTGTTTCTGTGACACACCGTATCAAACACTAAAGCTAGGGAAGTTTTTTAAAAAATTCTTAATTACTTAAGTTATTCTTCAGAGTGAAGTATGTTTTCACTGAATTTAAAATGACTCTCTTAATTATACTTAGATTTAAAAAGAAGTTTCAGATAAATGAAACCTATTTGGTCAACTGACTTATGTTTTCATTGTTTTCGTTTTCAGGATGCAACCAGAATGAGCTGTGATACCACAATGAGGTTTAAAAGTAACGTCACACATAGCCAAAGGGGTAAAAAGGAGGGACACTGATATTACGGCCAAAATACTGATACTATCACCATTTATAATTAAGCCAAATAGACATTATCAAAATCTGCGAGTAGAATATTCAATTTAAAGTTTTACTTTTAGAATTATACAATTACTCTGTAGGACTGCTCGTTTCAATTCCTTCCCACATCAATTACCTTATTAATAAAAGATTCACATCAGAATTAATCCGCTTTGTCAATCATACTTCAGTAAGGGTGGAAAAAAATTTGAAAGAATTCTACCTTTAACTATGAATCAGAATGTTCAAAAATGTTAGTTTCACTAAAACATAAATAAGTCTAGAACTATGCCTTCTATGCATTAGGCTGAAAAAGGGAACAACTGATTTGAGAGAAAATTGTGTTCAAAACTATCACTTACTGTACGTAATAACCTTCTTTATGCAGTATCCAAAATCACAAGGCTTCAAATACTGAAATGTTATTTCTGCATGTTGATTTCTGAATATTCTGAATATTGTTGTTACAATATTCTGACGAGTGAAATTTTAAGTATTAAAATTTACATTTAAATTTAACATACAGACTGCTAAATCTTCAGTACTCATGCTGGAAAAAAATCACAAGATTTGAAGTCAGAACTGGATTCAAATTGTACCTATTTCTGTCATAGCCTTCTGAGCCTGTTCACCTGAAAGATGTGTAATGCTTACCTATTGTAGGTTGTAGTTGGGACTAAATGAATTATACTTAGAATAAATCCCAATAGGTAATCAGTGAATGGTAGCTATTATTATAGACACAGGAATCATCATTAAAACTTTTGTCATTCTAAGTATTTAGGCAGTATGTGGTGAAACACTGCATTTTCCATTGGCGTGATCAGACTTTTTACTTCCATGGTGGAGCTGAATGATTATTGGGTGATCGGGTGGGCAGGGGATGGGGGGGGCGGGGAAGGAGGAGAGGGGGTTGTGGCGGGCAGCAGCAGAGTTCTCCAGGATGCTGGTACTGCACCTTACTCTTTCCGAAGTGATCTGTAGTTAAGATGCCATGTTGAGCCCCCTTAAACCAGTAATGGAAACAAAAGGGGTCCCTTAAAAGTAAAATGATCCCGTATCATTTCTACAGTGGCAGTCCTAAAGAAGGGAAAGATGATGTCTTCTGAAATATCAAGTCTCTACCTGTTCAGTCTATATTTAATTTGCTGTGTATGTATTTTCTAATTAATTAGAAACTTGAAATTTATAATTTTATGTATACTACAAACTGGAAAACAGAGTTTTGATTAATGAGATCTGTTTTCCTCTATCATTTGCTCAAGTAACAGAAAAAGATGATTACACATTATCAAGTATATAGAGACACAACTATTCAGTTGAACATTGTTAAATACAAACTAAGCATTTCTAAATGTACACCTAGAAATCATACATCTTCCATTTTAGTGGCTTAGAAAAGTTTATTTTGTGCTTAGAATATTTGTCTAAAGCATCACAAAATTACTGCACATCAATACTCTTCAATGGTAGAATACTTAATATCCTAAAGAGGCGGCCTTTAAAGAAAACTGTTGTATATTATGAAACTGTTAAGTCTAACAAACTCACAAAGCAGCAGATAAATCAAACCTCTATGTGGTCAACATGAGAGGGGACATCACAGAAATCTTCTATTACATAATAGACAGGTGATCAGTTTGAATATTTACTGTTTTCACCTGCTTGTAGCCAATACAGTTCTCTATTGCCACCCCACACCGACCCCACTTTTGCTGTAAGGTGCAAACTCTTTAAAAGATTAAAAATATTTTCAATGTCCCATCCTGCTGATTCCCACCTTTATATACCACACAAGAAAGTATTGAATACAAAGTTCTGTCTTCTCAAAGACATAAAAATATTATGATTTTAAAACATCAATCGTACACTTCGTAAAATCACAACTAAGAACCTCCTGGATGAGGACAAATATACACTGAAAACTAGCACTATTAAAGATGTTTTTTCCTGAGTGAAATGCTAACTTTATTTTATATCAGATTAAGCTTCTATCAATTTTTAAAACATAAAATGCGGAGGCTTTTCCACATCACATAAAAATCAAGAAAGTTTACCTTCACATCAAAAATACAAAAAAAGTCCAAGTAAAAGTTCAACAATAATTTAAAATCTGAAACAGGTGGCCAAATTTTTAAATCAGTAGACAGCTCTTCAATTTTAAAGATCCCTCAATAACCTTCCATTTGCAAAAACAAAATAAAATACAACAAAATAAAATACTATTTATTAGAATATGAAAAATATTTCCAGGATATTCTCCAATTTGGAAAATGAAAAATGTATCCCATGGTACGAAAAGTATACTGAATGCAGAAACAAAAATGTAACCAAACTTTATAGGAATCAAGACACCACCATGGACTTATAAAAACTTCCTAAATCAGTAGCATATCCTGTATTATCATGTGTAAAAAAATTGTAATTAAAATAAGGTTAGTTTTTATTAGTTGCATTATCTAAAAATATGAGGAAATTTTGAACTATTATCTCTAAAAGGACCACAGAATTGTCACTGAAATAGTATTTCTTGAGACAATGGGCAAAGTTCCCATTTATGGGAAATATGTTCTTTTTTTTCACACAGTGAAACTGAAGAAAATTTTATTAAACGAGAAATCTTTCTCTAATCTCCTTAAATACCTCAATAATGCAATACTTGGGAAATGTAATTTTTCAACTCAGAAAAATTTTATTATGAAAAAGGTCATTATTAAACAAACACACAAACCTCTTGCTTCACACCAGATTCTTCAAAAATTTAAAGAATTGTTTAAACCACCATACTGTTGTTATATCCTATTTGAAACTTTTTACATAGTGCTCCTTTTATTTTCTGAAAGTAAACCTTTCAATCTAGTGACAACAGACTGACTCCCGCAAGGTACAAGTCACGGATCACTTCAAACCAAAAGAAATGATTAATCTTCTGTTTTTCTCCAAATTATATTAAGATATTTATAAAAATAAACTAGGATTTATCTGTGGCCAATGAGGGACCCACAGAACGTTGTCTTATGGCATTCTGTGGAAAGTCTTTATTTGTTCCTTCTTTACGTTCAGCATCCTCTTCTGAAATATCTTCTTCATCAGCTTCATGTTCCTCCTCCACTTTTTTCAAAGGTTGAGAAGATTCCGGTAATAATTTTTCTTAAAGACAAAGATCACAAAATATTTTTTGTTGATGTATTAGATTTGTGTGAGTATAGTCAAGACATGATTCATATGCCCATAAACTGCTTTGGCATTTATTTATCAATCCAAAAGGAAACAGTTATTTTCAAGACTAAGAGTACTGTATAAATAAAAGTTGTGTTGCAAGATCCATTTTATTTACCAAACTCATTATAATTACCTACCTATTTATGAATTGAAATCAATGAATCAGAATTAATGCTGTGAAAATGAACATTGTAAAAAAAATACACTGCATTAAATATAATTATATTAATTTGCTACTAAATCTTTTAATTAATAAGTATACTGAAACAAATTTCAACACTACCCTTGTTTCAGTTCTCAACTGAACAGCAATCAGACATTAACAGTTGAAAGTTATATTCCTATCTGGTTTTTTTTTCCCCTAGTGGTTTCATAAATGTGCTTCCTCTACTCCACTTGTACTTTTATTAAGGTATAATTACAAACAATAATATGTACAAATCTTAAGTGCATATAGCTCAATGAATTCTCAAGAATGTATACATATACTTTTTATTTTTTTATAAGGCCTGTTGCTAGTTAACTGAAACTTAGAACATACCACATTAAACTGAGATACAGAACACAGAACTGAGCCAATGAACTTCACTCTCCTCAGTGACCCTACACTGCCCCTAGCTCTAGGCACTCCAGGATGGAGGGGGAAAAATACAGGAGTGTAAGTTAGGAAACCATGGGAATAAATTATCACATAGTAAACAAATCTGTTCTTTGTCTGGCATCCCTCTGTGTTTGGTTAATAGCCTCTTCCCTCTACCACATCCCCTGTGGCTGTGGCGAGCACTGCAGTTTCCAGCAGTGGTTCTCCAACAGGGCTGATTCTGCCCCACCAACGAACAGGTGGTAATGTCTGGAGAATTTTTCATTGTCACAACTGGGAGGTGGCACTACTGGTGACCAACCGGATGCTGCTGAACAGCCAACAACATACAAAAGAAGAGACAGTTGTGGGTAGAGAGATGTATTTCCTTCTCACTCTGCAACTGTAAACTATCACCTTCTGCTAAGGACCGGAAAGAGCCAAAAATGGAGCAAGTAAAGGCAAGGAGAATTTGAGCAGGTCAGAAACATAACATCCTAATATTTGAGCCTCAGAATCCAATCAACTTTGCCCTCACATTTCCTTGCTTACATAAATCAATAAATTCCTGTACTCTTTTAAAGTTAGACTGAGGTCTTTCCCTAGCAACTCAAAATCTAAGCCAAACACACATACTGGAGAACAACTCAAATCATTTGGCCTATTATTAAAAGGGGCAATATCACAAAGCATGGATTACTATCAGCTGTGTCACAGATTACTTAAGAGAAGTATTTGTTCGGCTAAGGTTTTGAAGTGAAATAAAATACACATTCACCAACTTTTAAATTGTGTTTTAAGTAATCTGTGCTTATATTTTTTTTTCCTACAGGGCAGAAGCCTTTGGTGAATAAAATGATTCCCTCCCCTATTCATGCCCTTTTTATAGTATCAATGCAATTACCTACAAAATGAAAAGAAAATCTATCAGTTATTCAATCAACTAAATAAACTCTAAATGCAATCTCCACTGACTTCATTTCAGGGGTTTGACCTCAATAAGTCCTACATCATGAAAGGCAGGAGATGGAAACGCCAGGCCAAGAGTCTGATTTAGGTTCTACTCTAAGCTCTCATTTCTTCTATGTGACCTTGGAAAATAGTTCATCTCTCTGAGCCTTAGTTTACTCAGCCACAAAAATAGGAAGAGTACTGCTTTTATGCAGTCCACTTTACAGAGTTGCTGAAAAGCAAACAGGATGACAGAAAGTGAAAGTTCTTTACAAACACCAAATAGGAGGGCTCCCATAAAAATGTAATTTTCAAGACTGAAAATGATTGCTAAGTTATTATATTAAGACAGAGAGCAGTGAATACTTCTAATTATATAAACTCATAGCAGTGTGTCAATACCAATCCTAAATCAACTACAGGAATTGCTTTTCCCAATTTCCTATCAGAAAAACTTAGACTTGGCTGAATAAAAAGAAAAATCTTCACATGTTATCACTACAGCAATGAATGACTTCCAAAGTAGAATATATTTAACTTTTTTGCACTCAAGTACGTTCAAATAGATCTATGAATATCACGGAATTTTCAAATAAGTTGCTATCAGATCAATCTTATTAAATATCTGCAAATTATATGCAATATTAAAATTCTCCACATTATAAAAGCCAAGAAAGTTATGTTCCAAAATCCATGGAGCTGTTATTTTTAAATGAAAAATAACATTTTCCTCCCTGCTTCTGATACAAGCCATCCTCCATATTTAGAAATCTAAGTTGGAAGGGAGGGATTAAGTACAAATTGCCAGTTATAAAAAACAGTCACAGGAATGTAAAGTACAGCACAGGGAATACAGTCAACAATATTGTAATAACTATGTATGATGTCAGATTGAAACTAGACTTATCTGTTAGGCAGCAATTTTCAACCGGTACGCTACAAGAATTTTTAAACATGCTATACCTGACAGAGGGACACTGACCTCTTTTCCTGAGTCTGTGAAATAAAATAACCACAGCCAATACAGAAACAGCTGTCCAGTATAAATGAATCAAAATTGTATCTATTTTTATTTTCAGATTGGCAAAAAAATCTATTTTTTGGTGCGCCACAGAATTTTAGTAATTAGTTTACGTGTACCATGAGATAAAAAGGTTGAAAATTGCTGTCGTAAGGTATATAAATGTCTAACCACTGTGCTGTACACCTGAAACTAAAATATGTCAACTATATTAAAGAAAATAAGTTTAAAAAATGAATAAATAAGTAAAAATAGAATCCAAAAGAAGAGAAAAATAAAAATATACTTACTGGAAGGGTAGGGCTGTGGTCTGCGCCTTTTTGAAGGACAGAGACAATCTGCCACAAATATCATACACTGCAAAAATAAACATAAGAAAGCGAAATGTACAACATATTATAAAACTAGTGCAACTACATAAAATTATCAAGTTTTAAGATATTTTTCTTCCTAGTACTCTGAAAATAAAGTACTTACGAGTCCCAGTAACAGTCCTGAAAGCAGAGTTGCTAAAGCAAAAACTGTGTATGATCCCCATACTGGTAATCCAAGGTCCTCAATAAAATAGTTATGGCAAGTCTAAAATCAAAAGGGAAAAAAAAATAACCTAACAACCTGGCCATTTTAAAGAAGTAATACTGTCACAAATGCTTAAAATAGAAATAAAAGCTTAGCCCATACCCTGATCCACATAGACAGCTGGAAGAGTGCTGACATACTACTCATCCTAAAATAAAAGAGAGATGATTGAAAAAAATGATTAAGATATACAGCTTTGAAGTAGAATATATGTGTACATAGCTATAGCTTCTATTTTTCACTCTGTAATCTCAGCAGGCCAGATTTTACTGGTGGTGTTAATCAAGATTAGTCATAACAACACTAATTTCAAGACTGTAAATAAGACCTGTTAGTCAAAATTAAGTTTCTGAATTGTTCCCATTATGTGGTGTCCTCATAAATAAAACACAATAATTTGTTTTTCCTTTTCCCCTACAGCTTTGACATTAACCTTTCACTTTTCATCTGATGATTTCTCCAAAGAACTGCATAAGAGGTTACAAGCTCTATGGAACCAGGTGAAGTCAGGTAAACTGTAAAGTAAATGGCTTCAAATGAGTACAGAATCCCTCCACAAGCAGAGCCGGAAGGTAGAATTAGGTGCACTTACTGAGCTGATCCTCTCCACCGTGGCATTACCTCGCTTCCATACTAAAATTAAACTCACAATAGCTTTAGTTTGATATAGTTTAATGATATATAAAATAATTACATAGGAAACAAATGCTAAGTCATCATATAAGTAAAAATAATTATTTTCACATCATTAAATCCAAGTAGTTTAGATGGAGTTAGAAAAAGGCATGCTCCAAAAATAAGAAGGGTTTGTTGGTTCCCAACTGTTTTCTCTCTATCAAAAGCATTGCCAACAACACATAAACCTGTCCACACAAGCCAAAGTTCCTGTATGCAGGATGGGCAATCCAACTGCCCATCACCGGGTGAGTGAATCTGCCGAGCTGACTCTGGGAGTGCCCCTTATTCAGTCCACCAATAAAAAAGGTACAGACTGCTGCCCCGAGGATTCAACAGACACTAGAAGCAAACCCCTTCTTCTACCAAAAGGCTAAGGAGATTCATTTTTGAGATTTCAAAAAACAAAAATCAGTTACATTTTCAGTCCAACACAGAAAGGTACTTTAATCATGTTGCTTTTGTTTAAAATGCAAAATGGGAAGAGGAACAAGGAATTGAAACATAAAAAGTACCATGTAGCCACACTATAGCCTGAACTAATAATTAACCTCTATCATGAACAATAGGTGCCTTAATTGGGCTGACACAGTGGTTCAGTGGAGAAATTCTGACAGCTAAAGGACGAATCAATTCAGACTTTCACAAAGGAGAGGTGTAAAGGAAAGGTGGAAAAGATGAACTTCTATTTCAAAATAATGCTTAGAGCCAACCATTCCTCTACTCCCAGAATCCAGAGCATTTTTTTATCTCTTATACCAGTGGTGTCCCAATGCCCGCCATACTCCCAACAGCAAGTGTGGTTGAGCGAACAGGAAGAGAGAGCTTAGCCCCATCAGGCTAAGTCCATGGTGACCTCAGTAAAACTCGATACTCCTGAAAGTCACTCAAATGACCCATGACATATTACACCCCAACATCTAGCAGGAAATATGCATACTATCTCCAATCCTTACTGCTCCATAGCAAGCTGCTGCCCCCTAGTTATCTGTAAAGCTCCATGGTTAGTCATGCCATTAGGATTATTAGGGTCATTGTTCATTCCCTCTATTCAAACAAAGTTATCAGACTGCTGGAATAATCCAATCACATTAAATAAAAACCTAAAATCTAAAGGTAGAACAAATAGGTACATGTTTGATGTTTCTTATTCAAATATTAAGCTCAAATGATAGCTTTATCCATTACTTTGCTCACATTTAGGGGGATCATTTAGCTTCTGATGATACAAAAGACCTTAACTACAGAGTTAAAATATTCCTGAAAAGGATTTCAACTTAATTCTACAAAATGTCTCCTAGCTTAATAAGGATCAAAGTATCTGTTTAACCTAGAAGAGTCAAATCAAAAATATCACAATAAATCTGAATATATTTTAAGAACCCAAAAATGCTTTATTTACATGAAATATAATGATCTGTTCCAATTAAAACTGAAATAAGAGAAAAGCCCCTCTATACTTACAGAATAGAACCTGGACCAAACCATGATGAAACAGGTTCAATACTCTTCCACTCTCTGTCGCTTACAAAATTTATGAAGTCCTTCTTAGTCCTTGGGCCCTGATAGCGCCTAAATTCACCATCTTTACAACTAAAGAGGATCAGAATTTAAACATTACTCAGCACCAAATAAACTTTGTATTTGTTTTGCTATTTCTTTAATCTCATTTTACTATAACCCTAATATTCAAAATCATTAGCAAAGCACAAGTAGCAAATTACATTAATTATCAATTCATGACAGCCCCAAATTGGATCAATGAGCTTGTATTTTTATACACTCTTAAGCCTTATGACTGTTATTGTTATTCTGCCAAATAATAAAACTATGAAACGTAAGTCATTATATGTCAATTATATCTCAATATAATGAGGGGGGGACAGACACAAAGTAGATAAATCTCAGAAAATCACTTTTAAGCCTTACATGTAATACACATTTTACATGAAAGGTTGTCAGAAGAGGGATAGTTATTGTCAGTTACTGTTAAATTGTTTAAGGCAATTTTCTGATATTTCCAGTCATAAGCACATCATCTCAGCCATCATTAAATCACTAGAGGGATCAAGTAAAGCATTTCCCTTCGTCCCATTTCAGTGAGTCTACTTTACGGTCTGCTGTGCGTTCTTCCTGACATCCGCCTTGCCCTTCCCATCCCCACTGTATGGAGTTCTCTTGTGGTGTGATAAATGCTCTCCCCGCTCCCACATCTTCAACCATTCCCAAACTACCTTAAAGAATACTGCCAGTCTAATCCTACTTAATTAACACTTCTATTTTTATCAGTTAAATGCAACAATTTTCAATAGTTCCCAACTACCTACAGTAGGGGTAAAGGCTCCTTTATCCATCTAGAGCCAAAGACCACAAGTAAGCCAAAAAACAAAGATTTGTGGGGAAAAATGGCATTTGAGCTGTTTTAGAACAGGTAGGATTTCAAAAGTCAGAATTTAAGAGAATGGACAGGATAAACAACAGGACTAAAAGAAAATGGGCAAGAAATTCCAGATAAGTTCAGGGGGTGTTGAGAAGTGAAAAGAAAAGGAGGAGTTTGATTATAGCCACCTAAGGGGCCAGCAGAGAAAAGTACTGATTGAAAAGGAAGAGAAGCACTTATAGAGACAGAGAACAGATATTTAAATAGACACAAAGGGAGCAGGGGAGAGTAAAAAAGGTACAGGGAAACATATAAACACGAAAAATAAACACAACAAAGAAAACATATCTTTATGTCTAAACATAGACGTAAAGAATTGCCAACTTGTTTGCATAACTAAATGAGAAGAGCTCAATTAATACGTCCTGGCATTCAACCCACCAGCTAGATGGGCCTTCAGGTAGAGAGCAGGTACAGATTTGAAATTTCCTAACTTCACTTTGAAGATAAAGTCAAGACCTAGCTGGTGTGGCTCAGTGGACTGAGCACCGGCCTGTGAAACCAAAAGGTTGCCAGTTTGATTCCCATTGTAGGGCACATGCCTGGGTTACAGGTCAGGCCCTCAGCAGGGAACATGTGAAATGTAACCACACATTGATGTTTCTCTCCCTCTTTTTGTCTCCCCCTCTCTAAAAATAAATAAATAAAACCTTGAAATAACTAAATAAAGTAAAACTAAAAAACCTGATACTGAAGACTATATAATCTTGTTCATTTTGACTTAACACCCAACCATTTCACCTAGTACTGTCCCCAAGGTTGAGATACAGCACTTTCTTAGCTAATTTTGAACATACCATGTGCCTATTTATGACTATTTATGAGACTGAACTCAGGATAGAATGCTTACTCTGGGCTTTTGAAGTCTACCCCCAAGGTTGCATTTAAACTCCATAATCTCCACAAACTGCTCCAACTCAGATTTTTCTCATACGAATCTTCCTACAGGACTCACCACAACACTGGCTCAAAAAAATTTACTATGCCAAAGAGTAGCAAATCATTTCACGTGAACATCACCTTCAAAAACAATTACAAATCTTTGAATCAGGGACTGTTTCATACATCATTCATCTATCTTAAAGGCACCTAGGACAGCACTAGTAGTTAATAAACCTTCTAATACACTTAATGAATATAATGCTCTTTAAACATAATCCAGGCCAGAAGCCTACTATTCTGATTATATTATGATTCATCCTCTTTCATAACCACCAAATCTTCAAATACTTACTGATAAATAGTGGGAAGAGCAGTTATGATAAATCGTCCACTCAGTCCTGCAAATGATAAAGATTAGAAATAAATACAAGAAAGAATACACAGCAGGTTTTATATGGGCCAATCACTTACTACTTAAAAGTTGATTCTGATTAAAATATTAATAGGGAAAAAATATTAAATTATACCAAAAATAGTTGAGCGTTGTAACATAAACAATGAAACCTATTTACTTAAAGCAACTTAAAAAAAAAAACCTACCACACATTACCTCAATTAAAAAGTGAATTTATACATAAACACTTGATCAATTATACAGCTGTTTGATAAGACTACATGGGACAGCCAACAGCAGTCTACATTATAAAGGTCTAAAATCAAATCAAATTGCATTTGACATTCAGAAAACAAAGGCTGAGTTTAAGATGTTGTTAAAAATGGAACACATCATGAATCATAAGATGGGCAATAAGAATAATAGCTAACGTTATTAATCAAGTTTTAACCTAACAGGATTCATCTCTACCTCAGTTTCCTTATCTATAAAAATTTTTATTACAATTACATAATAAATGTAAAACATTTGTAGAACCTATAATTGGCAAGTGCTCAATATTAGCTATTATTACCATTTGGAATCAAGCAGTCAAGAACCTAAGTACATTGTGTGCAAGAACAGGTGAGACGAGGTTGGACTAAGAAAGGAGCATGCTTGAGGGCAGGACCTACCGCTTGACCAGGGGGCCAAGTCAGGAGTGTACTTGACCCCATAACCATGCAGGCTTTGTAATTAAGAGCCCATGTCCTCAAATCACAAGTATTAAATTTGGAACCCAATTACAGAGATTCATGCAACTTGTCAAGGAATACGACGACTCTGTAAAGAACCTCAATCACATGTTCCATATCCTGAAGCTTAATATGGATGCAACTGGTGGCTTTGGTCACTGTCCACCTGGACGAGTGTTCTAGGACTTCTTAAAGGCATCTTACACACCAGTCTGTGGCCTGGGATACACAGCAAAAAAGGATCAGAGGCAGTTATATGAGGAAGTATGGCTGGAAAAAAACAACTCCCAGGTCCCTCATACTAACACATAAAGGATGAGCTGCATACACAAACAAGGAATCTGCTTTCTGAAGCCACTGCACACTGAGCCTCCATTGGGGAAGTAGTGAGTTGACTTAACTAACTGCAGACAGTCATGTTTTCAAAACCTAATGAAAGGGAGAGTTAAGACCATGCAATGTGGAAAACAAGATAAACTTATCAACCAAATATGCAAAGAAACAAAGCTATCCATAGACTTACAGTACCTGGCTGCTCTGTAACATCTACTTTTGCAACATTAACCTCAAGATCTTCTCCCCATTCGGCAAAACTTTCCCACTCTGGCTGAAGATTCTGACAAGCAGGACACCATGGTGCATAACTGAGAAATACAGTCAAAAAAAAAAAGTTAAGCACTCAAATACAACCATATTGGAATAAAAATTCTAAAATGTATAATTTGTGAAGAATATTTTATACCAAAAACAAGATAGCATGCCCAGGCTAGCATGGCTCAGTGGATTGAGTGCTGGCCTGCAAACCAAAGGTTTGCTGGTTTGCTTTCCAGTCAGGGCACATGCCTGGGTTGAGAGCCAGGTCCTCAGTACGGGGCACATGAGAGGCAACCACACATTAATGTTTCTCTCCCTTTCTCCCTCCCTTCCCCTCTCTTAAATAAAATTAAAAAAACAAACAAGATAGCAGAGTGGTTAATTTTGTGAAAAAAAGTTTTAAATGTGAGCCTAACACTCTGGCAATCAAGAACTTTGATTTGATGATGCTAATCACATAAAAGTAATTCTGAGAATAAGACACAAGGACTTTTTCACACAAACAGCTGTTAAAAAAAAATCCTTCATATTTTTCTATGAAAATGTGGCCACCAGAAAGCTCAAAGCTAACTTTGGAGTTCACCAGTTTTAATAAATTTACACTGCAGAAGTCACAAATGCCAATATAAGAAAAATAGGAAGCACCCACGGCTGTAGTGAATAAGGAAGCTTGCACTACATCTTAAGCAGGAAACCACCGCTCAGGACGACTGCCACAAGGGATTGCTGGCCCAGTATGGCAGGCTTTTCTTATATACAAAACTGTTACATTTTAATAAAACTTGTTTTATTAAAAACAAGACCCCTAAAAATAATAGGCATTGTGGAACAAGACTAGTACCATACATAAAACTGGAAGTTCCTAATAATAAATTGTATTCTATGAAAATACCTCTGTAACAAAACGTCTCATCAGGATGGATTTAATATAGATAACTGACTTGTAGTGACTAGTATTAGGACTACTAACTAGATCCCTTTACCAGGTTCCTTTTTTGTTTTTTAAGTGCTTTTTAAAGATTCAGCCTCAAAATCAGTAACTATGGAGGAAAAAAAAAACTACTATCATATATACTAATTTCACACAGATGCTCTAATTCAAATCACCTATACTTCACTTTTGACTATTTATATAATTTGATCAAAATGAGTTTTTAAAAATTTCCTTGAGTAATGCTTGACTGTATTTTCCATATAAATTCATAATCACTTGCTTAACACATTATTTATGAAACAATATTTTATGGGCACAATCTAAAGTTCCTCCTGACAATAAAAACTAAATGCTGTCACTTGTTATATTTCCTCTCACCTCCAACTTCCAATGGTGCCTGAAAAATTCATTTCATTGAGTTACAGATTATACACACACTAAAAACATTTTCTCATATCTTACCCTCTATGTTCTATGCCTTTTTTGATTTTACGACTCAAGAGTTACAGATTTGGCCTTCTGGGCTTTCCCTTAATGGTGTTCACTTTCACCTGCCTCCTAAACTGGCAACACAACAATACAGGAAAACACTTGTTAAAGAAGGAGGGTGGTTTACCAGCTATCACTGCATGCCTGCTCTGTTAGGCTCTAGAAACTGAAAGCAGTATAGCAATATCTAGACAGGTTAAGTAGGTTTCTCATCTGTAATATGCAGGAAATAATCCCTATCTTACAGAATTTTGAGAGAATTAATTATAGTGATGTGTAAAGTGCTTAGCTGTATCTAGTACACAGTTAACACTAAATAACGGTGTTGTTATTAACTAACATAACTAATACCACCAGTATCAATAATACTGCCACCACTACCACCAATTTGGAACCCAAAACTTCGGCAGGCAGACTGTTTATCTTCTGCCAATGCAAAAGGCACCTTATTGTAACAGAACCACTGCAGACACGATTTTCTTTGAACAGTGTACAATTACATTCACATATCTTCTAATGCAGTACCATTTGTACAGCATTAAGACTCACAACCCAGGACATTCAGTATCTTACAACACACGCAAAGAAAAAAAGAGAGGTATTATAAAGAGAAAAGCAATAAAAGAAAAAATGATAAAGGGAATTAAGATTTTAAAATAACCAAACCTCAATTAACTTGACATGTAAAATAAAAATATACCTAGCCCATAAAATAAAATTTACGAGTCCCAAATTCCAACACTATAAATGGACTACCTTTTAAATATAATTAGAAAAAAGAAGAGAGGTTCTGCTCTCCTCTTTTGTAAAATTTGGTGAAAATGAGTCCGTTTGTGAAACATCATTCTAAAATAAATAACTGTATAGGAACTAGTCACCCCAACCACTCCACACCCAAAGCCATGAATTAAAGTTGAGAGAATCGGAACGCAATCTCGTAGGCACACCAGAGCCTTAGACACGAAAGTGGGATGCAGTTTTAGGAGAAACTTAATGTTCTCTGGTGAAAAACGAGGACGGGGAGGGACCAAGCCGGCGGCTGGTCCGCAGAGCAGTTTGGAGACCTGGAGGCGGCGGAGGCGCGAGCTCCGCAGTCCGCAGTGGCAGTCCGCAGTGGCAGTCCCCACAAACTCGGGCCCCGGAGGAGGGGCAGGGGAGGGGTGAAGTCGGGCGTGTAGACTCGGACCTAGGAACGCGGCCTGCCCGGCCCACCAAGGGGACCCCGACACAACCGCCCCGAGCTCACAATTCTATCATCCACTCTCCTTCCAGCAACTCTCTCCAGTTCTCGTCCGTGACGACGCGCACGTCGCTCCGCCGTCCGTGGGTCCAGGGAGCCCCCCAGAGCAATAGCAACAGCACTTCCACGGGAACTACAAGACTCCCGGGGGTCGCCATATCGGCCGCTCGCCCACCCCACAGCAAGCGCGGGGGCCCCCCCACCTCCGAGGACCAGCCCCTCACTTCCGCCCTCGCGGGATGATCTGCTCATGCGCAAGACCGCGCGGCAGGACGCGCGCGCGCGCCTCGAGAACTCTGAAAGCGCCTAAAGAGACTGCTCCAGTAGGTTGAGTACGGAGGGTAGCGCGACTATGCCTAGTGCGCATGACAGAAAAGCGGTCCCTTCCCAGTGCCTGTTGTGCCTCGGTATTACTGGGAAGAAACACTGCGGTCCCGGGGCGCGGTGTAGAAAGCGGGCGGGGCTTCGGAAAGAAAGGCTTTCAAAGTCTGCCTCTGCATTTGGCGCCAAGTGGTCGACATTTTATACTTAACTCTAGCTAATTGGTAAATTCACCGCAGTTTCCAATTAAATGCCCTTCGGAGTTTTCATTTGTTTTCTTGGAAACTTTTGTAGAAAAGCTGACGGATGTTTATATGAGTCAGAATGTTGGTTTACTTCTGGAGGATTATAGACTGGAAAAGTGCACCCGGGAACTTTATGAGCCACCCTTTATATTCTGTGTCTTGGTCTGAACGGTAGTTTACAAGGGCATACACAAACGTAAAAAGCCATCGAGCTGTAAATGTTAAGACGAGTGCACTTTATGCACGTTAGGGAGTATGTTATCTCTCAATTTTTTTTTAATACATAAATGCTAGATCAGAAATCGAAATAGAACAAATGCAAATTAAAACGTGCACTGTCTTTAGAAAGTATCAGTCAAATGAAAATAGTTGCCCTTACACGTTCTCACCTAATTCTCTCTCCTAAATTCACTTCAATTGGTACTTCCCCACTTCTCCACAGAAAGACCTTTTCGAAGATACTAGTGATCTGGATGTTAACAAAGCCAATTTTTTCTTCTCAGTATCCATTTTACTTGACTGCCAGTAGCAATTTGCAGTCACCACACCCTATGTGAAGTACTTTATTGTCTTCCCTTCTGTGGTGCCTCACTTGTTTTTACTCCTGCACTAGCTGCTCCTTCTGAAACTTATCAGCTGGTCCTCCTCTACTTGACTTCCAGACATTGGCTTATTGCAGGATGCTGTACTGGTCCCCTCCTTCTCTCTGTAAATTACTCACTCTTTCAGGTAACCTCAATGCTGACTTAAAGCCATCAACATGTTTATTGTTCCAGCCCTGACACTTCTGGGAACATTGGACGTATATTCAACTCTGTTAGATATCCTTTGGGTATCTAACGGACAGCTCATACATAACACGGCCAAAAAATAAAATTCTTGATTCTCCCTCTTCTAGTCTTCCATTTCAGTAAAAAGTTGCAAATTCTATTTGGTTGCTCAAGACAAAAATTTACATTTTAGTTCTTTGTTACTCTCTCTGTGCAACCATCAGCAAGTCCCATAAACTCTACCTCCAAAACATATCCTGAATCTGACCACTTACTTCCTTTCCCACAGCCAACACCCTAATCCATGAGTCTATTGTCTCTTGCCTAGACTGCAATAATAAATTCCTAACTGGTAGCCCTCTGTCTCTCTTGTTTCTCATCATAGGAGGAAGCCATTTCTCGTTAAAACCCTCCAAGTGCTTCCCACTGCACTTAAAATTAAATCCATACTCCTGAAATGCCAGGCTCACCTATGTCTTCATGTAAGAGTTCTATAGTTTTGTTAAATCTTTGATCTATTTTGAGTTAATTTTTATATACGGTGTGGGATTGGGGGTCCAACTTCAGTCTCTTGCATGTGGATATTCATCTGCCTCAGCAAAAATTGTTGCAAAGACTTCTTTCACCATTGCATGCTCTTGGCACCCTTGTCACAAATCAACTGTTTGTAGACATACGAGGTTTGTATTTTTCCCCCTGAATCTTCAGTTCTATTCTGTTGATCTAAATGTCCCCTTGATGCCAATACCATACTGTCTTTATTACTACTGTTTGAAATCAGAAAGTGTATTTCAATTATGTTCTTTTTCAAGATTGTTTTAGCAATTCTGAGACCCTTGAATTTCCATATAAATTTAAAAATCAGCTTGTCAATTTCTATTTTTAACAAAAGCAAGCTGGGATTTTACAAGAGTCTACATTGACTCTGTAGATCAATTTGGGGAGTATTTAGTAATATTAAGCCTTTTAGTAATATTAAGCCTTCCAGTCTATGAACATGGGAAGTCTTTCCATTTATTTAGGTCTTCTTAAAATTTTCAGCAATGTTTTGTAGTTCCCAGATTATAAGGTTTGCACTTCTTGTCTTTTTCCTGTTTTTAGGGGGAAAGGATTCAATCTTTCATCACTAAGTATGAAGCGAGTGTGGGTTTTTTATAGATGCCCTTTTTAATGAGGAAGTTCCCATAACTAACTAGGTGGCTGTGTATGTTTATCATGAAGAATTGTTGAATTTTGTTACATGCCTTTTTCTTTTCTTTGCATTTATTGAGGTTATCATGTGGCTTCTGTCCTTTAATCTACTGATATGGTATATTAATTGATTTTTGGATGATAAACCAACCTTGCATTCCTGATATAAATCCCACTTGGTTATGGTGTTTAGTTCTTTTTATATATTGGTGGATTCAGTTTAGCATTTTATTGAGGGTTTTTAACATCAATATTTATGAGAAATATTGGTCTATAGTTTTCTTATGATGTCTTCATCTGATTTTGTTTTCATGATAATACTGGCCTCATAGAATGAGTTGGGAAATGTTCCCTCCATTTCTGATTTTTGGAAGTGTTTGTGAAGAATTTCTATTAATTCTTCTTTAAATGTTTGGTAGAATTCAGCAATGAAGTCGTATAGGCCTGGGCTTCTCTTTGTAGGTAGTTTTAAAAGTACAAGTCAAATTTCTTGTTGTAGATCTATTCATATTTTCTTTCTTTTCGAGTCAGTTTTCATAATTCTTGTCCATTTCATCTAAGTTACCTAATTGTTGGCCTACAGTGTTTAATATTTTCTTATAGTCCTTTATATATCTGTAGGGTTAATAGCAATGTCCTTTCTTCTGCTCCTAATTTTAGTAATGTAAGTCTTTTCTTTTTCCCCTTGGTGAGTTTAGCTAAAGTTTTATCACTTTTGTTTATCCTTTCAAGAAAGCAACCTTTAGTTTTGTTGGTTTTCTCTATTATTTTTTAATCCTTTCTTTCATTATTTTTTCCTTCTGCATGCTTTGGTTTTAGTTTGCTTCCCACTTCCCCCCAAAGTATTTTAAGGCGGAAGATTAGCTTATTGATTTGACATGTTTCTTCTTTTTTTAAGTGTAGGCATTAAACCTCTAGGATTCCTTCTAAAACTGCTTTAGCTGCATCCCATAACTGTTGTCGTTATGTCGTTTTATTCATGTCAAAGTTTCTACTAATTTCCCTTTCCATATCCTCTTTGTCCATTGGTTATTTAGAGATGTGTACTTCATTTCCACCTATTTGTGAATTTCCCAAAAATCTTTCTGTTATTAATTTCTAATTTCACTATATTATGATCAAGTAACATGCTTTCTATGATTTCAGTTCTAATTTGTTGAGATTTGTTTTATGGTATTTTGAGGCTCTGTTGTATATATCTTTATAGCTGTTATACGTTTCTCGTGTATGGACTCTGTTATTATTACAGAATATCCTCTTTATATCTAGTAATATCTTCTTGTTTTATAGTCTATTTTGTCTGATATTAGTATAGCCACTTGTTTTGACTTTGTTAAATTAATGCTGTGTCAGTTGGTTAGCCATAGTTCAACAAAAGACCACAAGGAAAATTGAAATAGAGAAGTTTATTACTCACAAGTCCTGGAGGAGATATACAGCATATCTTGAGGATCCACACAAGGTAGGGTGCAGGCATATAAAGTGGTGTTACCTGTACCAAATGCCTTTATTAGAGTCAGTGTGTGGGATGCTTTTGGGTTCCCAGGCTAAAGCCAGATTGATCGTCTCAAATAAAAAAAAAAAGAGCATGTTTTTGGTAAACTTCACATGGGGTCTAATCTAAAGGGCACACAGAGTGAAGGCTCTAGGAGGACTAGGGGACTGTTTATCACAAGGGCCTTGGGGGGAGTCGTATGAGTAACTTACATTTACTTGTGACTCTGTATGCTGTTATCTAGGGCATGTGCCTATGGGAGGGGCTGGTGTCAGTTCAAGGCCCCTGCAAGTTTCTTGGCAACACAAAATGGATGCCAAGGCAGAAATGTTACGGAGTAGCTTAGCTAAACTCTCTGACAACTATGCTGTCTGTGAGATAATATCCTCAGGTTGTCTCATGGCTTTTTAAACCAAGATTAGGAAGATTAATTCTACTTTCCCATCTGGACGAAGAAAGGCAAAAGTAGGGATCACCCTAAATTTGTGAAGTTGGCTTTAAATTTTAACTTTAAAGAAGCTGATTGGATGTTTTATAATGTTCTTGTTCATGCATAAAGTGTTTAAATCTAGCTAGAGAAAATTCTAGGAGTTCAAAGGGATACTATCAAGTGCAACCCTGAATTAGAATTAACAAAGATTTGGCCATCTGAAGAGTTCACTAGTTACTGACATAATTAGTTGGTGCTTTAAGGGGATTTGTAGCTTAAGATTAATTTGATATGTTATTGCAATTGTCCAAAAGTCACAAGGAAAGCTAAAGCTATAGACACTAGACCTAATTTCTGAAGTCTGGTCAATTTCAGGAGGATGAAGAGAAGTAAATTCACTTAGTATTAACATATCTCCGACACAGTAGCAACCCTTCCACACAGATTGCCCAAGGCACAGAAAAGATCATAAATGATGCAAAGTCAAGACTACAAGAAATGCTTGAACTGGATTAGGACCGGGATGGTTATCTGAGCACTCCATAGATGTCACAGTTTCCCTGCCCCTGAGAATTGGCAGTTAATATAAACCAACATTGCATATTAACTTGTATTTAATATTTTATTAATTACAGTACATTATATATGAAATTTCATATATGTACACTGATATAGTATACTAATACCTATGCATCTCTCTGAAATCCAATAATAATAAAAATCCCTGGCCAGCATGGCTCAGTTGGTTGGGGTATCATCCTATAAACCAAAAGGTTGCAGGTT